GAGACACAAGGACTAACTGGCTCTGTGTATAAATCCTTATTTCTTACTTGACACTCATTTTTCCAATTCTCAATGTCTTCAGTTATTTCAGAGATATTTCAGTTGAAGGAGTACAGGAGATAAGGATATTTCGGATACAGACGGAAAACAGTATTGAGAGAAGTTTTTAAAAGCTTAAGAAAGATAAATAAACAAAGAAATTTGAGATGCTGAAGAGATATAATATGGTTGATTTCTTACTGGGCTTGTTTGTACATAAGTATGCACTGTACTTACTTACCAGTGTTCCTTAATCCACCATGCCCTACTAGTCTTGAATTGTGTGAGATGTGCATATCAGATACCTAAAATTGCTGCTAAGTAGGGAAATAGCTTTGAACAGTTTCAGTACAGCAAAACTTTTCAAAACTTTTCAGCTTAAAGAAGATGGGGCTCTGTTTCTGTGTGATAAAAAAGATCATCCTATAATGCGATTTGTAGTTTTCCCATCCATTTCCTTTCTAATAAAATATGCTGCCCACATACAATTTCTAGATTTGTGTTTATATTTATACATACACCTATGTTTATAACACGATTGTCTTTTTCTTTAAGTTCTTTGACATCATCAAAAACTACTTTTCCTCCAATGAAAGAAAAAAAAAAAAACCCACACTAAAATTGACATTTTCCTGGCAATTCCTGGGGCCCTTGCAATGCCTTTTCTTGGACTGCACTGACACCTAGTGTTCATATCCTTAGAGCAAGAATAGACTGTGGCTTTGATGGATTTTGAGTATTTTCCTATTATTACGCAATAACAAATCATGGTGCCAAGATCACTAATATAGTTGCACCACAGTATTTATAGTGTTTTTGGAGTTCCTTTAATGCTAACCTTTGTGTGAAGATCTCTGCACTGGCAGTCTTGGCCTGGAGGGCAGTGGAGGTGGGACCAGCTAAGCAGCTGATCTACCCTATCTTGTACCTGTAACAGGTAAGCACTGCTGACATTGCAACACATATTTCTTCAGTTTCCCTTCTGCCTGCTTCTGCAGTGCCCATGGTGTGACCCCATAATGCTTTTCTTCCAAACACTGCCACAAACAAAACTACAAGCACCTCACAGCTTGATACATTCATTTACTGGTGTTCACAGACAGCTGGCATCCTAAAGACAGATTAAGACTGGAGGACTGTAGCCTGTATGGAAAATCACACAGTCACAGAGATCCCCTAGCAAGTTTTTGTTTTGCTTTGTTTTGTTTTGTTTGAGATGAGCAAGTCACTCTTCAGGGCACTGCCTTTTTCCATTAGGGCTGCATGCATTTACTTCACCAGTCTGTGCCCATCCCTCTTGAGTGGAAACACAATTTCAGAGTAATGTTATTTGCAATGTGTAGATGCCGTTTCTTCCAATTCTGTTGGGTTTTGGAATGACAATCCCCTTCAAATTTCTGCAACTCAAAATTTCCCCTAAAGAAATGCATATTGGGTAACTAATAGAATATTTGAATAATAATTCTTTTTCAATAACAGTATAGTATACAGAAATTAGGTAGTGCCCCTTCAGAATTATGAAACTGGAACCTGCTTTGCATTATTTCTCCAAACAGAAGCAACTGTGCTTATGTGTTGCCAAACACCAGTACTCACACTATTTTCTCAACATCCTAATACTGTGAGACGGGAAGGTACACGTACACTAACTCACAACCCAAACTGGGCATATATTGGAGCCTAGCTCTTTAGAAGGGATTTATTTGCCCCACACTTTGAGTACTGGCTCCAGAATGCTGTTGTGGGTTTGTAACAGCCTTCGCCTCTCAGACAGCTGCCTATGGCACCATTTGCCAGTGGCCTACTGAGTAGAACATAAGGAGTTGTTGGCCCATCATGGCAATCCTAGAGTACCAGGGAGGCCCTTGGAGCCCGGCCACCACCACCAGTTCTTCTGGCATGGTCTCTGGTACCTCCTGTCCCAACTATGTGCGTCTGTGGAGATATATCTAGATTCAGATGGAAAACACTGCCTCAGTGTTTTTCATCCTTGCATGACCGTGTGAATGATACAGATATTCTGCATCTTTCATTTTTAACTGATGAACCACTTTGGCACTTCCATGGGACTGCTCCCTCCCATGCAAGAGGACCGATCTGCCTGTGTGACACTGTATCAGGTATGAGAAGTTTCCAAACAAATTCCAAAGCCTTTCTACTATTATGATCTAAAAAAAAAGAAAAATTAATAAAATGTTTCTTTTAAACAGCTTCAAAACTCAGGCTAGTGTCTGGAAGACAAGCTGCATTCCCCAAAGCAGTGGACTCTCTCTCTTAAACATTTGTCAGGGCACCCACTGATCTCATGTTAATTACAACTGCTCAGTGTCTGGGAACTATGATCCATGCTGCCTCCATGCAGCTCCAGGCAGCAGTGAATGTGATGAGGCACACTTGGGCAGGGAGCTGAAGAAGGGGAATATCTCTGCTTACTTGGGGAGACTGATTCACCTATCGGCTGCCTCCCAGACAGCTAATTTAGGAATGGTGTCCACTAGGCAGAAAGCTCTGACAAGAAAGAACACAGTGACTCAGAGTGCCTGCCTAAAAATGTGTCATCTCAAGTCTCTAGCTGCAGTGAGTGCCCAAGCCTCTTGCTGTCAATGAAAGGCAGCAGAAATTCTACCTGTGTGAGGTGTGAGCAGGTGGATGATCTGCTCAGTGCGGTGGTGAAGCTCAAGGGGGAGGTGGAGATATTAAGGAGTATCAGAGAATGTGAGCAGGAGATAAATTGGTGGAGTAAGTCTCTGCTGAATGTGCGAGAAAGTAAAGAAATTTATCAAGATGTATTTAGCAAGTCATTTCATACATGTGTTCCTTTTGCTATGGAATTCCATTTATCACACCACTTTTTATATTTTGTATTTTTCACATTTTCTATGGTTTACTCTAGCCCTAAATAAAGAGCAAAGCATTTGTTCATTCTGGGAGGTACCATTTGGTTTGAGTTTTTTCAGGAGGAGGACCACCTTTCCATGTAATGGTATCGAGGTAGCTCAGAGCAGCAGTCTGATGATGCTTCTCCACCCACAGCAGCCCCAGCAGCTCCCTTAGCTTCACCCAAAACTCAGCTCACAGTTGGGCATTCCCACTCACATTTAGCTTAAATCTCAAAAGGCCTTCATAATTTTTGCCCTCTGGTGTCCCTTTCAGAACATTGCAGTGAACAAATTAAGATGACGGAGGAATGAGAGTCGTATTTGCACAATTCACTATCTCTGGACTGAGAACTTGAGTAGCCACTTTAATGGGCTGATTTCCCCCATGTGCCTTTGTCCCCCTCACTGTCACTACTGGTGAGAGCTGCATATGCTCAGCAGAGATGAATTTTCTTTTTTACTTTTCTGTGTTTAGTCTAACAACTTGTAAGAAAGTCCTTAAGAATTTTGAGAAGCATATAATAGCAAATTCTGTTCTTGTTAAAGAATTCCTTATTACAAACTTTTAAAAAAACAACCAAAGTCTCTTAAGAGAATATATCTCCCCACACGTTCATAATAACTTGTATAACTCTCCTGTTTAGTTCATCCCCATCAAATTCTATGAACAGTTTCTATATTCTCTCAGTACCACCAGCTTTTAAAACTTGCATTGCCTAAATATATTCCATCCTTTTCTGGTAACTAATTTATTACTACCATAAAAAATCAGAATGTTTTGGGTTGGAAGGGATAAGGATCATCAACATCCGACCCCCCTGTCACAAGCAGGGTTGCCAGCCACTAGATCAAGTACCAGATCAGATTGCCCAGGGCCCCATCCAACCTGGCCTTAAATACCTCCAGGGACAGGGCATCCACAGACTCTCTGGGCAACTGCTCAGGAACCTCACCACTCTCTCAGTAAAAAACTTGCCCCTGACAACTAATCTAAATCTCCCCTCCCCTAGTTTAAAACCATTCCCCCTTGTCCTATCACTATCTACCTTTGTAAAAAGTTCATTTCCCTTATGTTTGTAAATTCCCTTTAAATGCTGGAAGGCAGAAATGAGGTCTCCCCCAAAGCCTTCTCTTGTCCAGGCTGAACAAGCCTAGTTCCTTCAGTCTGTCTTCATAGAAGAGGTGCTCAGGCCATTTCATCATGTGCATGGCACTCCTCTGAACCCTCACCAACAACTCTACATTCTTCCCGTGCTGGGAGCCCCAGACTTGGATGCAGTACTCCAGATAGGTTCTCACGAGGGCAGAGTAGAAAGGGACAATCACCTCCTTCATCCTGCTGGCCACCTTCTTCTGATGAAACCCAGGATACCGTTGGCCTTCTGGGCTGCAAGCACACACTGCTGACTCATGAGAAGGTTTTCATCAACCAGGACCCCTTAGTCCTTCACAATATGGCTACTCTCAACGAATTCTCCCTGTTTATTTACATACCTGAGATTAACACAACCCAAGTGCAAAATCTTGCACTTTGCTTTGTTGAACCTGCCCACAGCAGGTACCCCTTGTCATGGTTTTGTGATTTTTGTTGTAGGTTTTCCACATCATAATATCATATAAAGCAGTGGGAGTTAAAGGGTTAATGCTGTGGTTCTGTGGACTGCCTTTTCTGGGCGTTTTAGTTCTCGGATGGGGGTGGGGGGAAGGAGTGGCATTCGCGAGAGAACTCCCCGGGCAGAGGAAGAGGGTGGAGGTCCTGCAGGAGGGCAGCGTGTGCCCGTCTTGCGGAGTCTCGGTTTTCGTGGCGGAGAAGCACGTGGCTCCGTCTGCGCTACACAGACTTAGGCTTTGGGCTCTCTCTCATTTTGTTTGATTTTGTTGGATTTAGTAAATAAACGTTCCTCTTCAGTTCGTTGCCGCCTTTTTTTTTTTTTTTTCAGACTCATCTGCTGTCTCCCTACACTTCCCGTCCCGTCCCCACCTTTAGTGCCTCTAC